TAGCTTTTCTTATCTTGCCCATTGTACAATATTTTGCCAGATATTAATGGCAGCAGGGGATATTGTCTCTCTATCTCTATCTGGACTTTTTTATAGAGAGGAAACGAGAAGATGTTGTTGGGATCGATCTGAAGAAGCTGAAACAGAAAACAAAAGTTCTTGCCCTAAGCAAAACGAGCATGGGATCAAATGAATGAAAAATGTTAGAGACAAATTATTCAGACTACAAGGTAAAAGGAGCCCAACATAGACCCTATAGTTTGTTCTATATCTCTCCTTTTCTTTTATACAAGCTCTCCCCAACTGCTCTATGTGTGAGTGTGTTTCGTATGGTTTGTCATTAGTTCATCTCTCTTTCTGATATTGGTTTTCTTGGTTGGATATATATAAACACGCATATTTATGAGGGTTGAGCTGTGTTTTTTTTTGTTTTCATTAAAAAGCTTGAACGAGTGTGACTAATCTATGTATCCATTGAGTCATTCTAACTTATTTGCTTGCCAAAGAGAATATTCTCCCACCAATATTCAATTTAATAGACTCTGGTTTCTGGTTTATATATGTGCCCTGTTATGCAATTTGCAATTGAATAATCAAGATCAAATATAACGTTGTTCTTGGTTGTAACTATTATGATCTAAGTTGTTCACTCTTAAATTCACTTACGACCATATATTGGGAAATAGTATGTTTCAAATGTCTCCAATAGTTATTTCAGTAGGCCAGTCTTTTTAGGACGTCTATCTGTTATAGTTATCATTGATAGGCAAATGTAGGGATACTTGAGTATGCATGCATCTGGGTGCATGTTAATGTTCATTGCATATCAAGAAAAACATTCCAATATTCAGGAATTGGCATTATCACTATAATCTCTTTGATTGTTTCGAGGAATTCTTCTGGCTAGGCTCATTACTTTGTTTTGCCACCATGTACTTCCCACTTTTTTTGGTGTTTTGGGTTCTTTAACATGTTATGGCTCGCAGGGTGGTGAAGTGTAGCCTTATAAGAGGAAGTCCTTCAGGATCCTTTTCCACCATCTCTTAATGGTTGTTGAAAGAGAGTTTATATCAGCTAGCCATGAATTTCAATTCCTTGGGTCAATAGGCATTCCTCTTTTCAACATAGCTCTAGATAGGGCTATATCGTACATCACGAGCCTCAAGCTATGTAACTTCTAGCTTGTGTTTTGCCCACGTGGCACATGTCCAGGCTTCAACATGTATTTTAATTTTCATGACTCAATACTTAGGGTTCAATATTCTTTGGAGACTTCCCCAAATTTTATCATTAGTTACTACCTTCTTGAATTTCTCAGAAATGCAATTTACCTCTTCTCCCAATAGTTGTGCGCCAATAATTTTCCTCTTAATTTGTTAAGTATTTGATAGTTGTATAGTACTCGAGAAATGCTCTCGACTCAACACTTCCATTGTTGTTCTATAACAATATATGGGTTTTTACATTCTGATATGTGATGGGTCTTGGGGGAGGGTGACTTAACATCTCTTTATCCGCTTGGCTGGTTTCCAAATGTTTTTCATTTTAATGGATTCATGTAGAGTGTTGTTGTTGTGTGAGAATATGGCCATATTTGAGGAAATTTATTTGATATGGAAAAATTTTGCTAAACAAAGTTTTGTGCATTAATTTTATTTTGCCTCGTTTTCAAAAGAGAACAAATTGTTTAAAATATGTTGACAGGAAGCCTCCTCTACTTTTTTGATGTGTTATTATCATTAGAAATTGATAAAAGATCTTCCAGGATTCAATACTTGTCTCATGACATTGTATGCTCTTTTACATCTTGTCTTGTAGTGTTATGTTTGGATGCTAGATAAGTTGTAATTGTTATTTTAGAGAAGTGAACATTTTCTTTATTAGATATTTGATACCAAACAATTTGATGGTGATGGTTAGGACCTAATCGTGAATATGTCACTCCAATGCGTATGGCCACATGTGAAGCATTTCTGGAGTCAAACCGCCGCATATTACAGAGGTAGTTGATAACATGACTTT